AATGCTGCAGATTCTTGTTTGGTTATCATCTCATATTATTCATATTAACCTCATGTAAATATAGCTTACCCAAACATAACAAAGACGATAGCATCAGACAGATAACAAAAATAACATTTAATAGTTTGCTCATCAATAATCCGATGTCAAAATCACTAATTATCTCTATCTGTCTGATTAAACGCTTTGTAATTCAGGAATTAATATTATAATACATTAGAATTATTTTTATAAGTCTATCATCTTATTATAATGTTAATTATAAACTATGTGTATACGATATTGATTTGCGGGGTTAGTATTATTTGTATTTGCCATTTTATGTCTAATATAAAGCCTATTGACGCTTGCAATACCAAAAATAGCATTCGCACCGTTGCCTATCCTTTTTTTTGTGTCTGGAAAATGCCTTACGCATCCTTCAACTACTGGGGGAGCGAGAAGAAGGTATGTGGGATTCCTCCCTGTCCCCTTCAGCCAGCCCTGGAGCTCGCTGATGTGAACAGGGCCACTAAAAACCAGACAATACTTCTGCACCGTCACCCGACACGCAATATGAGGACCGCGGTCTCCCTAGTGCGTGCCGAGAGGGCGGGTGTGGTCGGAACCCGTCTCCGAATGGCCGCGACCGTTGCCTATGCTGACCCAATCTCCTACCCCGTGGAGGCCTAGAAGCTTACTTACCGACAGAAATACAACCAGCAACCAGCGCCCATCTTTGAAGCCATTTTTAAATAACAATCAAAATGTATTGTTATTTAACTGTGGTCTTCTATAAGGTGGAGGTTCCTTTCCCAGATAGGCGCTCCAATTCAAGCGATAAATCAGCTATGCTCTACCACTACTTTTAATTGCTGAATTTCAGTCACTAGCGGGCAATTTCGCCTACGTAGAAATGGCGTAGAATAATGTGTTTCCCATACAGATTTTCATTCCCTACTTCAGCCCTTTTTAGTTTCAATTTCATGACAAAAAGTAGACTGTTAAATTGAGTTAGGTCGTAGAAGCTTAATAGACATACTGACAGATATACTTAATTTATTTATTTTTAATTAACTCAAAATGTGTAAGATATTCCTACTGATAATATAAATGTGAAATTTTGTGTATTTGTATGTTTTTTTACTCAATCACGCAAAAATGGCTTAACTAATTTAAATAAAATTTAGCACACATACATAGTTTAAGTTTGATTTTCCGGGGTTCCCAGAAATTTTTTATCTGTTAATATTATCACCTTTTATCTCCATTATGGTCTGCAATAAATGAATTGAATTGAATTGAATTTAATTGAAAATGTTAGGTTTCTATAGGATTCTCAAAAAACTAATTATAACGCGGACGAAGTCGCGTGCAGAATCTACTTATAGTTTAGTAATGAAGAACTGATAATAAAAAATATTTTTTTCATATAAATTATTTATTCTATGATAATTTCGCTGTTAATGTGTATAATTATTTTACACCGTCATTTAGGTTTACAAGTATTATTAGTGGTAGTACTTACAAACTGAAATATTGTAAACATTATAAAAATGTTAAATATACGTAAACATTAAAGCTTCCTGTAAATAAATGATTGTTCTTCCTGCGGTCGACCGATGGGGGACCAATCATTTATCTAAGGCATTTACTTTATCTTCCAACTTCCTCTAACTTAATTAAATTAACTTCAGTCATTAATACACTTACATTCATTATATCACATAATACAACATTTTTTTAACATTTTTAGTGGTAAAAAAATTAATACAACTCTGCGGAGATGCTATTACAACAAAACTGCTGTAGCTGTAGTAACTAGTAGGTTCTTACTTTTTATTATCTTTATTTATGTCTTACACGATTTTTATGTAACTTTAACCATTTACGCAGCACACGCAATGGAATCGTACAAATGGAATATTTTTCCAACATTTTCATCGATGTAGCGTTCCTACTGGTCATAGCATGATGTAATTATAAACTCATTGTGTATAATACAAACCTGAGAACAATAACTATAGTCTATACTAAAGCTCTAAGCCGAAGCGAAACGAGGACGGGTCACTAGTTTCAAATAATTTTTTAAATCACATTGGCGAATTCTGCGGTGAATAGTGAGTTTGTTCTTCCAGAAAAGTATTGCCGGAGGTGCTGGAGGAATCTCTGAGCGTTCATGGAATCTCGTTAGAATGGAAATTTAGTGCATCCGTCCAGTAGTGCTACTCTGTTAAATTATCACCTGAGGAACCGCATCGGATCCGTGAGTGAAAATTTTACAGAATAGCACTTCAAATACCGAAGGGTGGTGATTTGCCACTTGCCCTTTAAGGAGGTTGACGAGTGAAATAATGTTTTTATAAGTAAATAGGGTGACCAACGTGCTTAAATAGCCCGCCTGATTGTAATAAGGGGCCACCATACATAAAGATTATAGATGCATTGCCAGAGAGTACCATGCGCATATTGCCTACCCTGAACGCATCCCCTCCCACGTGGAGCTTTGAAACCTTATTCAGTGCAGCAATACAACATTAAGTAGCTCCTCCGTGTTTCTCACGACACGTCAATTCGTAGATCCTGGCTGAATAAAATATGTAGTCATTAGCATCTAAAAATCCTTACTATGACCGCGTCTTTCTATTCTAACCAGTAGTGGAAACATAGGTACATGATGATGATGAATAGACCAATTTGAAACACCAAATTCACAAAGACAAAAACAATCCAATTGTAATCAATCTAACAGAATTGTGACGATTTTGCTGCAACTTAGGGAATAACAATGACATAATCTACCTGACTGGAATGATTAAGCCGCCGACAGAAGAATCATTAAATTTGCAATTTTTTAACATGCTCCTACAAAAAATATCGTCATTGTTTCAAAATCTTATTTCACAGAGATTAGTTAAAAAAAGAGGTAGAGATTTATGCAAATCATACAAACAAATTGACGCAAATGTGGAAAGGTATAAAGCTAGGACCTTACGAAACAATGTTTGGGTGATAGATAGGTCTGTTAATGCCGTTTATCCGCAAGGCTTAATCATAATTAAATTGGGTTTCACTTAAATCTGTATTTTATCAATTCATATCTTCTTATGAGTACATTAAAAACGATAAAAATCTATACTGCTACTGTTGCATAAAAAATAATTATCTTTCCCTTTTTATAACATCATAAATTTAAAGAAAAGTATACTAGAAAAATATTCCACGCGGGCCTAGCGGTTAAATGCTTAAAAATAAAAAACATAACTATAATTTAAAGGTCCGCGTGGAATTTTTTCTAGTTATATTTTCTTTAGATTTAAACATCAAGCAGTTACATGCTTTAAAAATAATAAAAATTATAACTATAATTGCTATTTCTTCTTTCAAATGTTTAATACTTGTAAAGGTATTTATTTGACATTGTGGGTTATCTACAATGCGAAGAGATGGCGCTGCCTTGAAGTTTAAGGCTAGAGAAAATTCGACGCGACCGTCTGGGCCGCGGTAGCATAATGGTCAGTGCATTCGCCCGGAAAGCGAAGGTTGGGGTTTCAAGTCCCGTCTGCTGCCTGCTTCGCGTGGAATTTTGAAGTGAAAACTTCTTTAGCGATGCTGTATACTTTTTTTTTATGGGTAAAAATGTTAAACTTGCGTCAGGTGACGTGGCGTAAGACGAAAACAATAAAATTGGAAAGGTTGTTCACTTTCAATATAAGTGTCTAACTAGGACGTCCAGGTGGCAGCTTTATTGCGAAGAAATGCATTTTTTTACAATAGATGTCGCTAGGTGCGCTTAAATGTGATTCATGTAAACTAAAATTTTACTATTTTAGTAGAAATTTAAAGTTTTGTAATGCGTATCTTATTTTTGATGTGTTTACTATTTTTTACTTAATTTAAAGTTTCATCAAATATAAATAAATATATTGTAATAACAAATGGGTAATTTAATAATTACAATAGTTGGGGTTTGATGCTATTTCGTCGAGGGTGGTTTCCGACCTTTTTTAAATATTCACGGATTGAATCATAGTGAAAACTTCTTTAGCTGCGTTGTAAAATGAATTGTCATGTGCGCAATAAATAAATATTGTATTCTACCACATAAATGATAGTACTTTTATACTGATAATTAAAGCAATTCGTGCAAAATTATTTCCTAACCATTCCAAAATATCAAAAACAGACAACGTTAATATTCAAGTTTTCACTTCTGCCGGCACTCCCGGAGTGCAACCCGTCGTTTTTTTTCTAGTATACTTTACTTTAGATTTAAACATCTAGCAGTTCAATGCTTAAAAATAAAAAAAACAATCATAAATTTACTTAGCATACAGTTAAAGAAAATGGTAGTCTGCTACTTTTGGTGATTCAAAATAAACGCCAAAAGTAAATTTAACAGTAGAAGAAGCAATTGTGTGATAAACCAAAAACCTTGCTCTTTATCTTTATAAATAAATGCATAGGGTAGCTTACCTATTGTTATATCTTTTTTTTTTGTACAAAGCACGTACATGTAATGATTATGCTAGAGAACAAACCATTGATATAACATACTTTGTACTACAACAACTTTGGAATGTTCAAATAATTTGCTGCATACAGACAACAGCATAAGTATTTAAAAAAAAGGGTTTAAAAAAAATAACATTTCCCCATATTTTCTTCCTTGATAATTTTAACATAAAATGCATAATTGATTGAAGAAACTTTACTTAAAGTTACAACGTGTAAAACATAAATTTTATACAATAATATCAACATGAATACAGTCATCAGGTTTGCTATTTTATTTAATTACTTATATCTATATATCCCGTGTAGATATCGTTAAGTAATAAATTCTTTTTAAATTAAAATAAGTATATACAACACAAACATTACTTGTAATAATCCATGACATCGCAACAATAATACAAGAATATTTTTATTATAAAAAAAGAATAAAAAATATCACTATATTATTTTACATCAATCTAAAGATATTGATACTATCAGTGCAATGGTTTATTTATATCTATCGCCCTTGTACAATAATAAATTTACAAAATTAAATAATTTTAATTTGCAATTGTATTTTATGAAGTAGGGTTTTATTTAAGTTATTAAAAGTTTTTTTGCGAGCATAATTCACTTACGCATTTTAAAAGCGTAAGAAATTTAATTATTACATTTTCTGTACTTCATACGATGATGATATGATTTAGTGTACAAATCAAGGCAATTTTGATTCAACTTTCTGTAACCATACATACTTATAAAATACTGCAGGGATAATACCACCGACGAACGGACCTACCCAGTATACCCAGTGAATATCCCATCTGTTGGACCAAAGAGCTGGTCCAAACGACCTAGCTGGATTCATGCTGGCACCAGTTAGAGGACCTCCCGCAAAAGATAAACCAGCTATAGTTAGAGCAAACTTCAACGGTACCGAATCCTGACGAGTTTCATTCACTGGATCCCAAACGGCACAATTAACTAAGGACAGGGCTGCTGACAGTACCATCTCTATCCCTAAAGCTTGCCATTCGTTTATATTCGGATGTGGTAGTGTAACACATAAACCTTCACCTGCTACATCGATTGGTGCAACACCGATTAGAATTCCATATCCAAGAGTTGCTCCCACTATTTCGGCTATAATGTACGCTACTCCGACACACACCGATATTTTTCCAAATAACACAGCTGCAACAGTCACAAATGGATTCATGTACGCCCCTGATAGATGTCCAAATATTTGAATGTTGAACATGACGGTCATACCAAATGTAAGCGCCGCGTACATAGGAGGATTGCCGCCGAGCAACCCGGTTATCGGTATAGTTGACATGCAACCGAACGTTATCAAGAACATGGTCGCTGTAAACTCTGCAATGATCCCTTTCCATTGCGTCGACACCCATTTTGTTATTGAGGTAGGTCTCACGGACTGTATAGTCATTTTCGCGATTTTAAAAACAAATCAACACACGCGAATAAAATCCCGTTTATATTATGGGTAAATTCAATTGCACAGTTATGTGTACACTATCACTTTTACTACCGTGAAGTTATTGTATTCCAGTTCATACGCACATTAGCACTGTTTGATTTTAAATAAGTATTCTTGCAGCTTAGCCAGAGAGTTGACACGACCGCTCTACAACCGGGGCTCGATCAAAATATCAGACACCGATCTAAAAACTTGTTACAACTGAGCGATATTTGTGCGCTCCGGATTGTTTTATCAAAGGATCACAAATCACCTGGAATATAAATATCTTTTATGTGTTAAACGTCCAGTGTATCGTACCAGATCACGTAAACTGATAAAAATACGATTATCATCTTTGACAGGCTTAGGTATTGTATGTATAAAAAAAGAATTTTTATTAAGGTATCAGTTTTATATTTGGTAAATATAATCTCATTTTTATTATTTTTTTACCATCGTTGTTAGTAACCGAGGTTTTGGTTCTTTGTGTCACTAATATTCTAAACAAATAAAGTCATTTTGTTCTTGTGCAGTCAAGTTTATTGACTTCCTACTTTTATTATTTACTTAATAGCACACAAGTGAGTTGGCATTGAAAATCACGTTATTAATAAGTAATATCCTCTCTAAAAATGGTCTCATTCAAAAGAGCAACGATAAATTATAAATATTTACGCCTAATTATTTGCACAGTAATAAAGCGGATATGTGGTAGTTATCACTTGTTGCTATCAAGTTATTTATTTGTACAAAACAATGTATAACGGTGCATTCCTATTTTTTAACCCAACAGGATCTACAAACTAATGCATATATTTTTATTTTATAAGCATTTAACTGTTTAAAACTAAATAAATGCATTCAAGTAAAATTTTCCTTACATTTAAACTAATACATACTTAATATGCGCATAATTGTATGTACATTGTGATTATCTAAACTAATATAAAAAACAGGAAAGATTTCATTGTTTGTTTGTTTGTATAGAATAGGTTCCGAAACTACTGGACCGATTTGAAAAGAAATACACATTTAGAATCTTACATTATCCGTGATCAACATAGGCTATAGAGTATTTTCAAAAAAGTTAGGGTTCTGTATGAAAAAATTATTAATGTAAGCCAGGGTGTGAAAAAAATACCAAAAAAATAACCTTATATCGCTAACGCTGCGGAAGTCATTAACAATAGAGCAAAGTGATGTACAAAAGTTTAATAGAGGACATCAATATCTACAAAAAATCTATGATAGATATCTAACTACTATAGTTATGTCACAACTAAAAGTGGGTGCGGTCTCACCCGCGTTAATTTGTACTTTTAATTTTTTGCTAATCAATTTACGTTTGTCTTAATGCATAAATGGTGAAGAATGACAGATAGTAAAGTAACGTCGAGGAGCTCGATGGCGCAGGTGGTTAGCGCGTTCGCCTGCGATAATTAAAGTTAAGCAACTTTCGCAGTGATCGGTCATTGGATAAGTGACTAAAAATCTTCTATCTCGGGTTCCTCCGTGCTTCGGAAGGCACGTTAAGCCTTTGGCCCCGGCTGCATCTGCAGTCGTTAGCACCCGCCAATCCGCACTGGGCCCGCGTGGTGGGTCAAGGCCCAATCTCACCATTCCATCCATAGGGAAGGCCTGTACCCCAGCAGTGGGGACATAATAGGCTGATGATGATCATGAAAGTAGCGTCACTGAATTGGTATAAGCAACATTTTGTAAAAGATAAATTAATTTACATTACAAACTTACCCCGTAAAAAGCTGGCCAAGTACCAAAACTAAGCCTAATATTGCTTTTACGTAATATAAAAGTGAAATATAAAATATCTTATACAAAACTAAAATTGTTATTCTTTACTTAAGTCTAAAGTACATTTAAAGTGAAACTAATAATAAAATTAGAGTCGGTGCCAGCCAACTTAAATAGTGAATGGCAGCTTGGATCATTTTGTGTTTCTGGGTATGGCACCGATAAGTGCAGTTACCTGAAATGTTTTGTACCCTGCCCATCGATTGTGAGTTATATTACGACAACAACATAAAAATAAGCAACATGAAAGCCATGACAAAATGCAATGCAAAATGGTGGCATTCATTCTCGCGTAGCTTACCTTGATGCAAAGCCCTGCCTATACCGAGGAGATCTTACTCCTACTTGTTTTTTTTAGGGTTCCGTACCTCAAAGAGAAAAAACGGAAGCCTTATAGGATAACTTTGTTGTCCGTCCGTCCGTCTGTCAAGACCGTTTTTCTCAGGAACGCGTGGAGGTATCAAACTGAAATTCATACCTAATACTCATGTCTACTGTCACTTGGAGCTGTGAAAAAAATAAAACTTCTAAGCCAAAGCAATCAAAAGATACAGCTGTTTATGGCGCAACTTTCCGCAAATTTTCAAAAACGCACGGGAATCAAAACCTACAGGTTTTTTTTTACCTTTCTGTTAACTTAGAATCTTGAATTTGGTACGAAGTAACATCTTATGGTACAGATAAAGGAAAAATTGCGAAAACCGTAAATTTTTAGTTACGTCATATAATAAAAAATTTTTTTGAAAATTTTAAAGTTACTATCTCTTTTCTCATGAACGCGTAGCGTAGAGGTATTAAATTGAGTTTGTACGGAACCCTCGGTGCGCGAGTCCGACTCGTACATGGCCGGTTTTTTAATCTATACTTATTATATCGTTATTTTAAGCTTTAAACTGCTAGATTTATCAATTTAAAGAAAATGTTAATAGAAAAATGAAACCACGATGCAAAGGTAAAATTTTAAAGTGTTTACCTAACATCAACTAACTAAAGTTGATGTTACTCTGACTTATAAAAAGTAGAAAATGTAAAGAAATCCTTCATCGTTTAACTTAGGGTTTGGGTTTCGAACCCAGGCCGCCCGCGTGGCCGGTGAGCTTTTAACCAATAAACCACCAATGCATTTTAAAGACTTTTTAGTATCATTTGAAAATGTTATACGACATGCTAACGATGAACGAAAAAATAAAACATGACAAAATAAGGTCTCCATGCAGATTGTAATGATGAGGGTTCCTAAAGTAATGTTTGTTTTAGGTCTTTGTTTGAATGTAATTACTTATGTTACATTTGTAGAGCCCAATTAATTCGCATATAGAAGATCATTGTCTTGAACTACATAAAAATCAAATAGGTAGTTCTGTAATGCCAAGAAAAACTACAGATTAACGGCTTCTACATTAGCACAGAAGTTTTCCAGAGAAAGTTTCATAGTCGATAGCGTGTGTAACAAACCTTTCCTTGTAACCGTATTGAAGATGGGTCGTTCCGCAAAAGGATCCGATATCAGTTGAGTAACGTTAGCTTAATCCGGACCATTTACTATAATCCGTGTTCGGGAAAAGTGTCGGGCTGATTAATCGCGGTCAGGACGCGGCTGGAACGGTCGCAGCCCAGGATAGGACCCGTCAGTTCGCTTTCTTCAATCAGACTCTTATAAATTAGTACAACTTTTATTTACTGCTACCATTAGCGGGGTAATTGTGAGATGATGCCAGTGTTGCAGTTTTACTGCTTTCGGCACTAAATCCGTGCAACCTGTAAGACCCGGTACATGGAATGATCCATATATATATATATATATATATATGACGATTCAAAAGAGTTAATATACATCCAATTTGAATAAAGATATATTGATTTCTGATTTCTGATTCCTATACAATTATATAAAGTTACAATAACCTAAAAAGATAAGTAAATTTAAAACCAACAATGCAACTATACCAATACGATAATCGTATATCTGCGATTATCATAAGTTTTCTACTATAATTCATTATCAATCATTCATTCCAATATTTTTACAATAGTTACTACAGTTTCGAGTGAAACAAAACGCATAACGTGTCAATTTCTAAACTCAACAAGATAACTTAAGTATAGAACAAAATTAATTAAATAATTAACAATGCGTAACTTTCTTTTTTTTATTGGATTTCTAAGAGTCTTCAGTTCATTTGGCACAACAAGGCACTAAAACATATCTAGTGCAATCTAATGGACAATTTGATGTAAGGTTAATTTGCCCATCAAATTGATGCCTTATATCATAGAGCACCTTTTAACTATGGGTTCTTTCTTCTAGGGAATCTCATCGATACCTCGATCGATCACCTCCCCGATACAAGAAATGGTTATTATTATCTCTCATACTCTACTCGCGCGTATTCATGTACATAGCTGTCTCATTTCGGTTTATGTTTTTTGTCAAACTATTTATACCTAGTTATGCCACGGCTACAACTCAGGATACGACCCGTCAGTTGCTTTCTTCAATCAGGCTCTTATAAATTAGCACAACGTTAATTTACTACTCCCATTAATAGGTTAATTGAACGCGAAAGAGAAATTTAGTGTGTCATTTCTTGGTCGCACGATCCGTCGTCCAAATGGAATGCTTTGCCCGCTGACGTGTATACCTTCCCTCCTATAACCTGGAATCCTTTAACAGAGTCGTAAAGAAGCAACTTGCAGGCCGGCAAGGTGTGGATGGATGTGGTAGGTGAAACTGCTGTATCAGCTATCTTCGTGTCTGAACTCCACCATCACTTAGCATCATGGAGTCATTTCTCGGACCTAGTTATAATTAAAAATGTAAGATGCCGAAAATCGTTAGTAGGACCTCAGAGGTGGATGCTCAAAGGCGTGTATGACATGCTGATAATTAAATAAATCCAACACTCACACTAATTAGCCTAGCCCCAAAGTAAGCACTATAAGACTTGTGTTATGGGATACTAGGGTAACGGATAGAATACATATACTTCACATATATAATAAATATTTATATAGAAATACATATTAAACATCCATGACTGGAGTACAAATGCTCGTGTTCATCACACAAACATCTGCCCCCATCGGGATTCGAACCCGGGACCTCTCGAGTCGGCAACGCCATGAAACCCAGCGTACAAACCACACGGCCACGGAGGTCGTCAAATTGCCTATACATTAACATCAAATATATTATTTATATGCAAGCCAATATCTCCACCATTGGAACATATTCGTTCTCTTCACTACAAAGGTAAATTGTTCCTCACCAAAACTGTAAATAACTGCAAAACTTTCCAGACGACGAATACTTAGGTATGTTACGTTTTTTAATGAGTGAAAGTTTTATTTCCAGAAACTTCGGTACAAAACTAATTTATACCCACCGTGTAAGTAAGTAATAATGTGACTGTTTTGATTAGTAACTCTTACCTATGCATGCCGAACAGCCACACTATACCCAAGTATGGAGTAAGTATAGTTTTGTCATTCTCTATTTTATGTTATATGCTT